TGTGTGTTTGTGTGTGTTGTGTGTCTCTGTGTGTGTGTTTATGTGTTTGTGTGTGTTGTGTGTCTGTCTGACTGTGTGACTGTGTCTGTATGTCTGTGTCTGTGTGCGTGTCGTTTTTTCCTTTTTTTTATTTGTTTTTTATGGTTTTGATTTTTTTTAAATACACGAAGTTAAAAAAAAAACAAAAAAAATATGTTGCTGTACATCTTTGAAAGATCTACAACCCTATATTTTTTATTTGTTTTTCGTTTTTTGTTTTAGCCCTTAAAAAATATCTGTGAAAACCAAAAAAAAACAGATCTCATTTTTCTAATTTTTTTTTTTCATTGTGTTTATGTTTTTGATTTTTTTTTTATAAATATACTCAAACATCAAAAAGTAAAAATAAAAATATAGGGTTGAAGTCCTCGAAAAGGCCTACAACCGCTTTTTTTTTTTTTTTTTTTGGATTATGCTGCCCAGGAAAAAAATCATTGCGGACCCCGTTTTTACCCGTCCAACGGGCATTTCAACGGGGATTCAACGCGCGTTGAATAACTCAACGCAGAACCCGCGTTGAATCCAAAATCGGACACATACTTGTCCGTTGCTGCGCTGTAGCAGCTAAATATAGGAATTGGACTTTGCTTGGCCTGCCTCAGACCGGTACCGGTTAGCCACGGCCTCTGTTGCAATCATTTTGTCGGTCCAGGAGCTTCCCGAACTTTCCTGGGACTTGCTGCAATTTTTGTGGACTTGGCGGCTGGACTCGGACCTTCCGGACTTTTCTGTGGGGTACCGGACTGACTCTACCGCGTCCTAACTTTTCCGGATGTTTCCTAACTCGGACCCACGACGCTTCACACTGACCTATCGGACCTACGACGGTTCACTAGCCTGTCGGATCTACGGCGCTTCACCTGTCTCTTATACACATCTAGATGTGTATAAGAGACAGCTCGTTAACTCATTTGAGGAGATCGTTGTAAATAGGGTCCTGCGCATAGACTTCCTTAACTTTCTGTTGGAGGTCTCTCCCTATGTCCAGATAATGAACTATCGCTTCAAAGTAATCAGCTCTTCTACTTAGAGCGTCGGCGACT